AAGAAGGACCAGGGGAGACAGGAGAACAGCCTTCCAATATTTGAGGGGCTGCCACAGAGAGAAGGGTGGTCAAACTATTTTCCAAGGCACCTGAAGGCCAGACAAGGAACAATGGATGGAAACTGACCAAGGAGAGATTCAACCTGGAAATAAGGAGGAAATTTTTGACAGTGAGAACAATCAACCCATGGAACTGAAGTTGCCTTCAGAAGTTGTGGGAGCTTCATCACTGGAGGCTTCCAAGAAGAGACTGGGTTGCCCTCTGTCAGAAATGGCGTAGGGTCTCCTGCTTGGGCAGAAGGGGGTTGGCCTAGATGACCTCCAAGGTCCCTTCCAGCTCTCTTGTACTATACTATGTTGGAATTTTGTAACGATATTTCTTTCCACTTTTGTTATTCTGTACTTAATCAGTGGAACAATTTGCCTCTAGAGGACTGTTGGAATTTTTTTTTGGAGACATCTAGTTTTTCCTAGTTCAAAAAGGATTTGGTATCTATACCCTCTCCTCTGCTCTCCAAATTCAGTTGCCATAGTAACCCTGGATCACTCCTTGTAAGATCTCTGTGCCGGTTAAAATAGGCTTAGCAAGGGATTTTTTAAATAATAATAATAATAATAAAGAAAGCAAAGGCATTTTAAGCCCACAGTCGTAAAGACGCAGTTTCACACAAACGCTATTGTTTAGAAAATCTTCTTGATTCAGAGACTCAGAGCTGGCTGCCCTTTAGAGGTTCCCGAATAGCACATTTGTTTTTGGGGGTTGACCCCACGACACAATGCTTGCAAATTCCATATTTCAGACACCAAAGGGATGCCTTGTTCCTCTTCTCTTTAGGCTCCAACAAACGACAGATCTGTTTCTCTGTGGGATAGGAATTATAAATTAACGATGTCAACAGCATATAAAGAGAATTTATATAAGATGTTTTATAGATGGCCTCTTCCACCAGCGAGGCTGGCAAAGACGTTTTAAAGACAAATCAGCTAAATGTTGGAATTGCCACCAGATATCTGGGTCTTACTATCATATGTTGTGGAAAAGCAAACAAGTATTGGACAAAAATAAAGATAAGGTTGGAGAAAAGGTGATAAAACAACAGATTGAGTTTAAAGCAGAAATATTTTTTGTTGGGGATCCGGCCTGAAACTTATAACAGAGAAAATATATATTTAATTATTGGTGTATTGATTGCAGCTAGAATTGTATTTGCACAATATTGGAAAAGTGGAGAGATCCCTACCACCAATGAGAAGGGGACTGGGAAAATATTAGAATGTGCAGAAATGAATAGACTAAAACTAAGGAGAAGGAACAAGCTAATTATTATATGATATGGGAAGCATTTTACCAATGGTTAGAGAATTAAAAAAGGAAATTGGAAATAAAGGAAGAAATTGGAAATAAAGGAACAACAAAAAGACGATATGTTTCTCATCTCACCGACGCAGCAAACTTGGCCCCACAATTTTGATTTAATCTTTTTTTTTTTTAACCAGAAACAAGGGAGCGAAACAGCTTCATAAATTCCTTTGGAATGTTGGAAGTAAACATAAAGCAACCTTTAATCTCTTTGTCGCATTCCCCACCTCCCTCCCAAAAATTTCAGCGGTTTGGGCAGCCCCTGGCAGGTTCCCCCCCCCAGAACAAGGTCTTAAATCAAGAATAATGGGCATTGCAGTCCATTGTCCCCCATCAAATCTTTCTTCTAGTTCCCTGCCCTGATTTATTCAGCTGGTGTGAGCAAAATTTGAGCAATTCTTTTAATTCAATTTTCATTTCCAAAAAGCTAATGACTCAGACAGGGTTGATGCCAGTTTTAAGTAATATCTTTCCGACTGACAGCTATTCAGATTTTGCCAAAAGGAGGAGGAGGAGGAGGAGGAGGAGGAGGAGGAGGAGGAGGAGG